AAAAAAACTTTATAGACAAATTCAAACCCGAACTGAATAGATCGTAACCCCACACACAAAAAACACACAACATGCACACAGGGTGACCCAATACAATGATCAAATCGCTCACATACATGGACGCACACTCATATACGGGAGACACGAGGAGACATATATATGTGTATGTACACATACATACATTTATGTATGTATATGCGGATGTTGACAACTTAAGAAGTGCGCGTGTGTGTGTGTGTGTGTGTGTGTGTGTGTGTGTGTGTGTGTGTGTGTGTGTGTGTGTACTGGTTCCATGTAGCTTGGGAAATATGTGTGTATATGTGTGTGTGTACTGATTACTTGTGGTGGGATAGTGTGTATGTGCGTATGTGTGTGTATGCGTGTATAGGTACAAATAAGTTTACGAATTCCTCGTAGTAAGATAATATGTATGGGGAAATATACGCACGCATATATACACGCATGCTGACAGGAACACACCAAAATAGAAACAGATCCAAGAGCACATAGGGGTCACTAAAACATTAAAAGATTAAATGCCGATAACTACTCGCTGGACAAACCTTAATTGTTTTATGACCCTTCGCGCAGAACTCTTCATTGACAATTCTAGAAAGAAAATTCGGATTGCCAACACACAAACAGAGAATGTCTCATATCGAGAACATTTCACATTGAACATGAAGAAAAATTAATTATTTTTAATAATATGTAGAAATCTCCACTTTTACCTGAAGACGGTCGCGAGACCAGAAACACGTGTCGTAGTAAAATTATGTAAAACAAAGCATAATATTTTTTCTAAATAAATCCACATTACAACAAAAAACGTTTGCGGCACCTCTCTTCTTTTTAATATACATACTTTTCTCTCGTTGGAACCACTACAACATATTTCTTTTATATATATATATATAAGCAAGTGTAAATGGATATAAATCCGACAGAATGAAGAAATTTTGAAAAAACAAACAAAAATCCTTAAATGTAGTTAAATGAAAGAATGTCGACGTCTGACGTTTCGGTTTATTAAACCTTTTTCAAGACAATATTCATCAAAATACAATTCAGTTCAAAATACAATTCAGTTATCTGTTCGGAATAAGACTTGTGTTTTTATGTCCATCGTATTTGTCATATTGAACTGAATTGTATTTTGATGAATATTGTCTTGAAAAAGGTTTAATAAACCGAAACGTCAGACGTCGACATTCTTTTTCATTTAACTACATTTAAGGATTTTTGTTTGTTTTTTCAAAATTTCTTCATATATATATATATATATATAATAAAAGTAACAAATCAAAAACTGTTTTCTCTTGAATATACAATCTCTGTTTTTCGAAAATATGAGACCTGGAAATCTTTGTACGCACCTAATATACATTTGTTTAACAAATATCACATTACATAAACAACTACTATACATCTACACACACAGAGACACACACATACATACACACACACACACATATATATATATATATATAACCTAAATATATGATGCACCAATATGTACGCTCTCTTATCGGTTGTTATATCCCAATACAGGGGCTTTTTACAGAGAAAAGCACGTGCACATTCCACTAAACACCCCCCCTAAAAAAAAATGTTGGTAAGAATAGTCTCAGACTGATTAATTAATGTTTAAAAACGAGGGACATAAAATTGTCGAAATTCTTGTCGGGAAGCTGACACTTATCGTCTGTTTCTAAGGACAGATGAACGGGGAGATAGAAATCGCTTGTGGTGACAATCTAGCTTAAGACATCACACGTAAGATCGATCCTTACTAGATTTCTCTGTTTCGTCACGACTTTATTCGCTCTTAGGTTGAGTTATAAGTAACTTCCGTTTCGAGAAACCAATTGTAATGGCGTTCGCGTAGCGTCTTAACTACGAATTATACGTGACAGTGGACAATAAATTTGGATCACACTGACACACGACAGTGTTCAATACAAAAGGCAGTCGACCAACAAGGATAAATCTCCACAACTGGCTCTATTGATTGATTGATTCGGTTTCTACGGCTTATCAAACCATGACAGGTTATTTAAAAATATTATTAGATTATAAGAATATCTTGGTGAGATAATAGTGATTTGGAGACACACGTCTTACTAATTAACCCATATCTGAGGAGAAAAGAGGTGGATTCATATCTTTCCCAAGTGTATTTAAACGTAAGGGAATATAACGAACCCAAATGAAATTGGAATTGAACTCTGATTAACAATTATGAGCCATTATCTATCACACCACTCGCACATCCAAGCTTACGTCACCTGTTATTCCCATCATCTAGGTACTGACCAGGCTCGACGTTGCTTAACTTTGGTGATCGTACGGGGATCTGTATTTCAACGTGATGCAGCAGTAATGCTATTATTAGTAGATGTGAAAGCAAGAGTCATGAAATGAATTAAATACTAACAATTGATAATATTATCCTGAGAAATCCAGACAATGAAAGATAAATACTAAAAGGTATAATAGCAAGAGAAATGCTTCATCCAAGAAAATCGATGTCATCTGTGTTATTAATTATTAATTATGAAACAAAAGATACTTGACTAGTATATACATACTGCGGATTTAGTAAGTATAAGAAGATATTGATTAAGAATATCTCAGTGGAAGCTATTGTGCAGATTTTCCAAGCAGACTGCTATTTTGCCGAAAAGATTTGCAGTCTTATACTTGAATCCTGAACATTTGCATGCGTGTTGATTGATTTGTCTATTTAATGGCATATCTACTCTTTATGGGTCATTTAATATAGGAGTTTGAAAGTAATAAAAATAGATGTTATTCTGCTTTCACAATTGAATACATGGTAGATGATACTCAGATTTTGTGTATATACATGTTTGTTGGGACAATAGTTACGAGAGGCGGTAATATGTGGATTAATGTCATGAAAGAGTTCATATTGGTTATTAGTATTTTAAACGGACGAATTCGCTACAATTTGCTACTCTGTGCGTATTCTTTATAAATTTTTATATAAAGAAGATATTGCTGGTATTTCTATTATAAAAAATTATTCTTATACTTCCATAGTTTTTTCATTGAGGTTTGACTATTTGCCCATAGCTGGGACCCTAACAGGTGCTACCACCCAGAGTCAGGTAGACCTGGGAACAACAGAAATTAAGAGGTGGTTCCACGCTACTCAAAACCTCCGATTTCCCGATCAGAGGCCTTGCTTCCAGACTAGGTTTATCTTTTAGGTTGAGTTATAAATGATTTCTATACTTTTATGAACTTTGTTCTTCAAAAAATAAAGTACAATTACATTTTATTTAATTATATACACATCATTATATGCACTGATCATTATATGCAATGATCATTATATGCAATGATCATTATATGCCAGTTATTAGGTAGTTGTTTAATACCTTTTGCCTGAAATCTCGCAGTTTTTGACGTGAATTTTTTTATTACCTCTTGCTTTTCATTAGAGAAAATCTTTTAGCAGCGATTTAAAAAATTATTCGTTTAGTTTTTATTTCAGCTAATGTTTCTTGCTTACGTTGTCAGGATTGCTTGGATGAAGTAGTTAATTATTAATTTCTGACTCGAAAGTAGTTAATTATTAATTTTAAGTTATTAATTTCTGACTCGGAAGTAGTTAATTATTAATTTCTGACTCGAAAGTAGTTAATTATTAATTTTGACTCGGAAGTAGTTAATTATTAATTTCTGAAAGTAGTTAATTATTAATTTCTGACTCGAAAGTAGTTAATTATTAATTTTTCGAAGTAGTTAATTATTAATTTCTGACTCGGAAGTAGTTAATTATTAATTTCTGACTCGGAAGTAGTTAATTATTAATTTCTGACTCGGAAGTAGTTAATTATTAATTTCTGACTCGGAAGTAGTTAATTATTAATTTCTGACTACTATTAATAGTCTTACAGCACTTAGTGTTCCCATGTGGTCAGCCATCTAGATACTGACCAGGTTCAATGTTGCTTAACTTCAGTGACTCGAGAATCGATGTTTCAACGTGATGTGGCCTTAAGCCACCAAAGATTAAATATAAAACTATCGATCATTAAATGATGGTTCGAAAAACGTTCCGAAACTGTCAAATAGCAGAATTCCTGGTTTCTTGGGGTTTTTTTTATAAAGTAAACATTTGTTTTTATATCACTTGCAAATATCGATATTTATCGATTGGCTTTAATCATTTTCCAGCAGATCAGGCTTTTGTTCAGTTAGTCTTTCAAGATATTGACTTGTTTTCCCTTCCTTTTTTTCTTATTCTTTTTCTGCTTCTCTTCTTTCGTTTCTTTCTTTCTTTTTTTCACATAAACCTAAACCCTAACCCTAACCCTTCAGTCTTCGTTATTCCTCTCTCACTCTCTCTCTCCCTCTCTCTCTCTCTCTCACACACACACACTTTCTTTCTTTTTCCTTCTTCATGCTTTTCTACTTTTTCTCCTCTTTTTATAGTATCTCTTCTCTGATTCCTCTCTCTCTCTCTCTCTTTCAGCTTTCAATTACGATTCCTTCTCTTTTCCCATCTCTTTCCTTCCGTCTTCCTTCTCTTTTTTCCTCTTCGTTCTTTCTGTTCTTCGTCGCCTTCTCTGTCTTTTCCTTCACTCTTTCTTTCAGTTTTTCTTATGCCTTTCAGTCCTCTCCCTGCTACGTTTTATTCTTCTCTCAAATCCGTCTTTCCTTCCTATCAGTCTTCATAGTCTTGCTTCGTTTTCCTATTTCTCCAAATTCTCTTCCTTTTTCCTCTCTTTCTACTTTTCTTCCTTCTCTCTTTTAGACTTCCTTAATCTCTTTTTTATTATTCTTTTTCTTCTATTCCTTCTCTTTCGTCTTGTGTTCTCCCTCAACCATTTTTCCATTCTTATTTTTTTTCTCTTCAATCCCACTTTCTCGTTTCTCTTCTCTTTCTCCTTTCTTCTTCCTCCTCTTTGTTTTTCACTCTTTCATTTCTCTCTCGCTTCTTGACTGATTATTTTTCGCCGTCTTTCATGCTTTCCTTTATTTACTTTATCGTCTTTTCTTTTTACTCGCCTCTTCTTTTCAATACTTTCATTCTCTTTTCTTTTCATTTTTTCTTCAAGCTTCTTTACTCTTCCCTACATTTCCCTTTTCTCACATTCTCCACCCTTTTCATCTATTGTTTCTTTTTTCATCTTTCTTTACCTTTAAGTCATTCCTCTCTCGCTTTCTTACTTCTCTCTCTCGTTCACCACTCTCCTTTCTTTCTTCCTTACTTCCTTCCTTCCTTGTTCAAGCTTGAACGAACTATATTCCTTGGTCCCATCGAAGCAAACCTTCACAGCAAGAACACACCATGCCATTTGTAGCAAACCACTCACATTCCCTCTGTCTTCCCACGGTGAGAAGTTCCACACGAACAGCTTCTTCCCGGGAACGACTGCCCTTTGGAACCGGCTCCCAATTGGATGTTTCCCAGATTACTACGATATTTATCTATTCAAGGCTAGGGTTAACCGTTATCTTCGACTCCTATACACACAAATGGCAGTCCGAACGTAAACCTCTACCATGAGTGGCCACTGGGACTTGTAAAGAGTGAACCACAATGTAAGAAAAAACATTTATTTCGATCATTTAATTTCAACTATCTATCTATCTATATATATATATATATATATATATATATATATATATATATATATATATATATAGTATTAGTCTTAAGATGTGCTATATTTATGGGATAAAGTGCTCAATATCAGAGATAGAGCGTGTGTAAATAAAAGTTAACATAGAAGTCAACAATTCTGAGGCGACAGTCTGTTTCATGCTAGATGCAATCGTCAGGCCACGAGTGTTGACGATTGCATCAAGCATGAAACAGATTGTCGCCTCTAAGTGCTGACTTCTATGTTCACTTATATATATATATATATATATATATATATTTCGGTGTTACCTATTTTACCTATATTACCTATCTATTTCTGTCTTTTCATATCTATCTACATTATGAATCTATTACAATCTACAGTCTCAGTATAGCCATTATTCTTTATATACATATGTGTATGATGTGTGCTTACGTTTCTAGTGTAGTTCATATCGACGTGGTAAATGGGAACCTTAGGTGTTTCATTGTTCAAAACCCCAACACACAATGCAGAATATTGTTTACATGAGAATTAAAATATTTAATTTTTTCCCACGGGGTTTATTCATTAACCCTTCTTATTTCCCAGGGGTCTGTCAGTATATCGTTCCTTCTATTCTAGGAAAACTTTCTTATGATTCCTAGTAGCAAATTGTATCACAGTTCGCTCTCTTTCCTTCACTACACCCTTCCTTCCTTCCTTCCTTCCTTCCTTCCTTCCTTCCTTCCTTCCTTCCTTCCTTCCTTGCTTCCTTCCTTTCTTTCTGTCTTTCTGCTGGAACCTGGGAAGGGTTACTGAATGAGTAATAAACAAAACGGAGGTTGGAAATGAAATGATAATCTTTATAATATCAACAAAATACAATACTCGCCAGCGACATGAAGTAGGTAAACCACTGCTAGTGGGGCACTACTTAAACAGCATATTAGCCCCCACTTACAATAGTGCCCAACGTATTTATGAAGATTGGGACGTATCCATTAGTGTTCATAGGTACGGTATATAACACTTTCTTTCTTCCTTATTCCTCCCACATTTTCCCTCTTTATATTTCTCCTCCCCCCTCTCCCTCTCTCTCTCTCTCTCTCTCCCCCTCTCGTTTTTCGCATTCTTTCGTTTTTGTTTCTTTTATCAATCTTTCAGTTTTATATTTCGTTCAGTTTTCTTTCTTTCTTCTATCCTCCCGTAAATCTTTCTTCTCTTTCTTCTTTCTATGTGCTTGTCAGATTTTTCTTTCACTTTACTTCCCCTCTTTTTATATTCTGGCATTCATATTCTCCTTTCTTTTTTTCTTTTTTTCTTTCTTTCTTTCTTTCTTTCTTTCTTTCTTTCTTTGTTTCTTCCTTTCTTTCTTTCTTTCTTTCTTTCTTTCTTCCTTCCTTTCTTTCGTTATAACGTGCAAGATTGGCTCTTGTAATATTTATTATTTCATATCGACTTTTGATTTAACTTCTTTCCAACGATATGTTCCTTTTTTTTCATCTGCATTCGACTTGTTCCTTTCATCATTTTTGTACTTTTCGGATTTCCGATTGAATGGAACTTAATAAAGAGCAATCATTAAAACGATTAAGGGATTAAATCGCTAAGTCTTTGAATCGGTGTTTATTGTTTCAGGAAACAACAGATGCAGATGAATTATGGCCCTTTCGATTATTTAAAACTGAAGATTATAAGCCAGATTATCCTCTATCTATCTATCTATCTACCTATCTATCTATCTATATAGATAGATAGATAGATAGATAGATAGATAGATAGATAGATAGATAGATAGATAGATGCAATATTGATGCTTTTGCCTAGACGATATCAGCAAACGCACTGTGATATTTGCACGCATGTTCCATAAATGTAGCTCACTGTAAATAATACACAAACACCCATACACTCATGCACACAATCACCCCCCATATATATATATATATATATATATATATATATATATATATATATATATATATATGTATTATTTCTAAAGAATTACTAGGTTATTTTCATGATCGCAAGAACACTTTGTTTATTAAAAACTTTTCCAAAAACCAAGTTGGTAAATAATGTTGTTAAAATAACATTACAAACTCACATTTTGAATACACACACACACACACACACACACACACACACACATATATATATATATATATATATATATATATATATATATATATATATATATATACATATATATATGCAATAGACAGATTTCTTTTTAATTCTGATAAATCGTTAATCGGTGTTAAAGCATTCTTCAAATTCAAGAGAAGGCTTTTGCTAAAATTATCATTAAATATTTGGATGTTTATATGGAAGTAATTTCAACAGTTTTTCCAGATCCAGTTCCAATATCCACGCCCCATCGGATTACGTCTTTCAAAGGATAATTGATGTCAAATATCACAGCATTTACAGATTTGGATTACGCAGTAACAACGAAACAAAATAATTCTGACTTAAATTTGTAAATGTGAATAAAGTCATTAAGATTAAATGTTCGTCGAATTAAATGCATGACGGATTAAATAAATCTTATTTGAGGAATAAGTAGATAGAAACAGCAACAAATCGTAAATGTAAATAAAATATTTTGATTCTACGTTGAACGGCCGATTTTGTGTGTCGATCGAATTGAAAGACATACGAAAAATGGATGCAAAACTATTGTTTTAAAATAATCGAACTACAGGTTTTCACCAAGGTTAGACAAATCGTATATTGTAGAGATTTTTATTAGATTGATGAGTTTTGATGGGATCAGAATTTACACAAGAATATATGAACGTCCATTCTATAAAAGTAGTTTTTTTTAATGTTATGCAAAAAAATCATCATCAATAGAAAATTTTTTTTTTCTTATTGATTCTGCTTTTCCTTAAAATTGTTGTCTCTTCCTGTATTCGTTTTCTTTGACCGATAAGTGGGTAATAGAATGTTGTATCTTTATACAGGGCAGCTTTTAAAATTAGAAAACAATATAAAATAAAAAAATTGAACCAATTTTATTCAAAAAATGGCCTTATTACTCATGCATGCAGCTGTTTATATAACATTAGGGAAAAAACAGTCAGTTATGTGCCATGTGTGATACACGTTTAGGCGATCATATATCTTTCGATACATGACTGACGAGGCAGATTTTTTCCTGCAGTAGGTTGCCTAAGAAAAGTGAAAATTCAACTTGTCTTATTGCCCAGCCCAAGGATTGAACTCACGTTAGTTCGTAGCATAGTAATTGTGAATTCACGAATGAGATCCGGACGAGTATAACATAATTATCCTGGATTTGTCTCAGTCCCTATTTGGTTCGAAGGTAGCCTTCTTTTTTGTTCGTCCACCTTTTCTCTCTCTCTCTCTGTCTTTCTCTCTCTCTCTCTCTCTCTCTCTCTCTCTCTCTCTCTCTCTCACACACACACACACACACACATACACACACACAAGTCGAATGATTTCTAGCAGATGGTCTTTCTTCATGTGTTGTAATTCACAAAAGCGGTACTGACTAAAAATCGTCATTAAATTCCCGAATCAAATCTTTAACCAACTAGGCCATTGTCCCGTTAGACGGCAGGGCAAGCCATGATTGAGCAGTACTAACACAGAACAAGACGAGATATCCCTAGACATGCACACTGAAACGAGAGCAAACTAAAGTTGTTGTTTAAATTGAAGATTACTCGAATTGACAGACAACTGACCAACATCAAAGGGACGAAATGTTTTGATAATAACAAAGATGAAGATATTACTTCGAGTATAATGTAAATAAGAAAATCTAGAAAGATACTTTTTTTCAATTAATTTCAGGATTACGGCCATATCAGGTTGAAATACAGGTTCCCGTACGATCACCGAAGTTAAGCAACTTCGAGCCTGGTCAGTTAAGCTTTGGATAATGGATAGCGGCTCGGAATTGTTAATCGAGGAGCCGAGTTCCAAATCCATTTGGGTTTGTTACACGCAAATACACTTGGTTTAAAATGCGAATCCACCTCTTTCCCCCAGATATGGGTTAAATAAAAGACTTGTCTCACTAAATCATAATTATCTCCAAAAAATTCTTACAATTTAAAAATATTTTCTGGCTTTAAATAAACTGAAAATGGTTGTTAAGCCGTAAAAAACATGTCGATCAATCAATTTCATTCATTTTTTTAAGAAATGTTTCCGCTTACTTTTTTGTTCCCTCGTATCTTCGGAGAATATTTTAAGGAAAGTCGTTTTTGTTCTACGTTAGGATAGTCTAATGTGCAATTAGAATGAATATATCGAATAAGAGGGTATAAGTTCTAATGAGTGGCTACCCTTACGCTGTAAGCTTTCTGGCGGACTCAGTTAAATTTAATTAATGTCAGCATTCCTATACCATTAAAAGTGTTACATTGTCAAGTTCATCATACAGTCATCCTATACCCATAGTATACCTTGGGCCTTGTATTGGGTGAACAAAAGTAATGCCAATATTATTACCGAACTACTGCCAACACCTTTTTACTAATAGGCTGGATCCAGCCTTATAAGCTCTCAGTAACTATACAAGGCGAAATCGACAAGCCGAGTTATAATTCTGGGATAGCTTATTGAGCTACCTTTTGCACTGTTGACCTTTAGAAAGTTATAACTCCATCTAGCTATTAATTTTATAGCAGGGTAAATTTCATTCTCCAACCAGTCAAATGGAATAAAAATTCTGAGTTTGAAAATTGTGAAAGATACAATGACAAATCGCATTTAGTTGTACATGTACGTGTGCGTGTTAATGGGTGTATATATGCGGATTTTGAACACACACACACATATATATATATATATATATATATATATATAGAGAGAGAGAGAGAGATAGAGATAGAGAGGGAGTAACCTATAGTGTTATACGTGTATTCTGTTTATAGTGTAGTTAGTTTATCCTCAATCAGTGATTCACCATTAGTATATGTCCAATATTAAACGAACGTGTATAATCATTAAGCGACCTTAACTTGAGATCGTCTGCTAGCATAAATAAAACTCTCTCTCTCTTTCTTTCTCTCAATATATATATATATATATATATATATATATATATTGAGAAATAAATAGAATAATATTTTGTGTGTCTTTGTATATATAAATTGGATACAAAAATGTTTTTATATATTGAAGTAGTACAATAAAATATTTTAGAAATCCGACATTTTTCTGTTATTCCTGCAAGCAAGATAAGCGCTTGAATCAGAATGGTATTTTTTAACTCAACGGCGAAAATAAACTGGGATGTGACATTAATGAAAATCTCTATAAACATAATTAAAAAGAATAAAATATATATACTGGACTCTTCCGTCGTTTCCGACTCAGGAGGTGGGGTGAAGCTGCTCAGTTCTTAGAAAAAAACAGCCAGACTATAGCCACATATTATTTGATTATAGTGGTGAACGAACCACACTTTTTAGAAGAGTCGAATACAGAGAATTGGTTCACAGTATGCCGTAAGGTCCCCAAATGAGCCTCCACAGCTTTACACTTTTCACTGTTTCAGTTGGACTCTGAAACAGGGAAAAGCATAAACTCTGTATTAGCTGTTTTGGCAAATTAAGGTTTAGGTTGACCTTTTAGCTCCCAATATCAATTGCTCACAGTTAACTCCTAGTAACTCCCAGTAACCTTACAGACGTGAACTTCATTCCACACCGGGGATGAAAAGACAGACGACCAATTTCGTTGTTTGCCGAAATAACCCATTCCCTATATGAGGGAAAAAGGGTTTGTTTGATTTATTAATTATATTGCTCTGTATAAATAAAATAAATCGAGCACTTTTTGTAGATCATTTCTAAGATTTTTATATTACTAGGATCCACTTGGATTATATACCAATGGATTTTTTACCTTACTACATTTATATATTTAAAATCGAAATATCATCGAACCTAAAAATCGTAAATTTTCTAGACATTACATTTAATCTCTACAATAACACCTACTAACCCTTCCAAAAAGAAAACCATTCTCCCATATACATAAATATCAACTCAAAACACCCGAAAGCAATTATAAACCAAATTCCAAATACAGTAAATACAAGAATAAACAAACTGTTTTCTAGTAAAACAATTTTTAACCAGAATAAATCGACATATAATCGAGCCCTATTAAAAAGTAAATTTAAACAAACATTAAATTATATAGATAAACCAATCAATAACACATCCACTAAGTCCAAAATTAGGAAAAGGAAGATCATATGGTTCAACCCACCTTTCTGTAAACTATCTAATATCAATATAGGGTAATACTTCCTAAAACTAATAGATAAGCATTTTAGTAAGGATGAACTATCGAATAAGATGTTTAAAAATATAAAAAAAAACTATATACGATGGTAAATATTGGCTTATTTTTAGATATGAGAATGATTGTATGCACACATGTGTGCGGGTACATAATTGTATGTATATATATGTGTATACAAACTTGGATATGGATATGTGGATTTATGTGTATATGTATATACATGTGTATATATACATATATATATGTGTGTGTGTGGTTGTGGGCGCGTGTAAAA